ACATATATGAAATTCACTTATTTTTGTGTAGTGACTTTGAAGTCAGCCACTTTGCTGTATTGGTTTATTGTTTCAAGGAACTCTTTAGGATCATCTGTACACATTATCATGTTATCTACAAACAGAGTTAATTTCTCTTCCTCTTTTCCAGTCTGGATCATTTTGGTTTGCTTTTCTTGCTGGTTGCTAGGACTTATACAGTGTTGAATGACAGTGTAGACAGTGGCCATTTTTGCCTTGTGCCTGAATCAGCAGGAATGCTTTTGGCTTTTTACCATCAAGAATAATATTTGCTGTGGGCTTTAAAAAAATTTTATTAGTGAATCACCGTGAGGTACAGTTACATACTTACAAACTTTCGTGCTTGCATTTCAGTCATACAATAATCGAGTACCCATCCCTCAACCAGTGCCCATTTTCCATCACCAATGATATCGGTATCCCCCTCACCACCCTTACTCCATCCCCCCACCCCACCCTGCCTCTGTGGCAGGGCACTCCCTTTTGTTCTCTCTCTCCTTTTGTGGTTTGCAATAGAGATATTGAGTGGCCATCATGTTTGGTCTATAGTCTACTTTCAGCACACATCTCCCATCCTGAATAGGTCCTCCAAACACCATTTACTTGATGTTCCCTTCTACATCTGAACTGACTTTTCCTGTTGTGAGCTTTTAAAAGGTAGGCATTACTATATCGAGGAAGGTTTCTTGCATCCTTATTTTGTTGATGGTTCTATCAGGAATGGATGTTGGATCATTCAAAGACATTCTCTGCATCAACTGACATGACCATATGATTATCTTTCCTCTTACCGATCTGGTGTGTTATGTTAACTGATTTTTATATGTTGAACCATCCTTGCATCTCTGAAATGAATCACACTTGATCATGGTGTAAGACTTTTTAAAATTGTGCTATTGAATTCAATTTTCTAAGATTTTGTTGAGGATTTTTGCATCATTGTTACGAAGGAGATTTTTCTAAAAAACAATATTTTGAAAATATCTTTGTCTGCTTTGGTTATTAGTATAATGTCAATTTCTTAGAAAGTGTTCCTGTTTATTCAATATTTTGGAAGGCTTAAGGGTCAATGGCAGTATGTTTCTCTGAAGGTTTGATAAAACTCACCAATAAGCCCATCTGGATTAGGATTTTTGTTCTTGAGGAAATTCTTAATAACTGTTTCAATTTCCTTGCTAGTAATTAGCCTGTTCAGGTTTCTACTTCCTTCTCATTCACTTATGGAACATTATATATTTCTAAGAATTTTTCATTTCCTCTAAATTCTCTCTCGAACAGAAAAATATTGTTCTTAATAGCTCTTATAATGTCCTGAATTTTTGAGGGTTCTATTGTAATTTCTCCTTGTTTTTTTCTATGAATTCTTTTTTCATAGAAAAACAAGAATAAGCTCAAATAAACACTTTATTTGAGCACTTTATTTTTTTCCCCTCATGAGTCTAGCCAAGGTTTGGCTCTCTTTGTCTTTTGACCAACTAGCTTCTGGTTTCATTGATTCTTTATTTGCTTTCTTGGTTTCTATATCAATTTCTGCTCTGGTTTTTATTATTTCCTTTTTTCTGTAAGTCTTTGGATTTGTGTGTTGTTGGCTCTTATATGGTTAAGATGTGTATTTAGGTGATTGTTTTTCTCTTTTTCTCCCTTTCTAGTGTAATCATGTATTGTTGAGTTTCCCCCTAAGTACTGCTTTTTCTGTGTCCTATAGAGTTCAATATCTTGTTTCTTCTTTATCATTATTCCCAAGGAATCTCTGATTTTCCCCCATGATTTTCTCTTTGATTCAGCTACTATTACCAGTGATTTGTTCAGTTTCCACATGCTGGAGTTTCTCTACATAAATTAAAGCAGGATCCATTTTTTCACACCTTACCTAGAAGCAAATTCAAAGTGGATCAAAAACCTTCAGATCATATCCAAATCTATAAGGTACACCAAGGAAAATATAGCAGAATGCTCCTATATTTTCTGAAACTTCCAAGCTTCTTAAGTTCTCTTCAAAAGATATGAATTTTTAAGGTGTCCTTAATGATACAGTGTCATAAGCACAGGCAACAGAATGAAAAACAAATGGGACTACATCAAATTTAATAGTTTTTGCATGGCAAAAGGAATACCAGCTAAAACTAAAAAAAAGAATCCATAGAAAATATTGTTTTCAGCACATTAGATAAAGAATTGATATCCAGGATATACAAAGTACTCACAAGAGTCAACAACAAAAAATTCAAAAATTCCATCAAAAAAGGCCAGAGGAAATGAATGGAGACTTCTCTGAGGAAAAACAATAGATAACCAACAGGCCCATGAAAAATGCTTCTGATACATTACTAGGGAAATCCAAATCAACATGACAATGAGATATTATCTGACACCAGTGAGAATGGCACTTATTAAAAATACTGTGGTTAATCTGTGTTGGCAGGGTTGTATTAAATAAAGAACTCTCATTCACTGCTAGTGGGAATGCTGTCTGGTTGAATCCTTATGGAAAAAAAATGGAGATTTCTCAGTAAACTAAAAATTGAGCTGCCTTACAATCAAACAATTCCACTTCTTGGTATTTACCAAGAGGAAATACCTGGTAAATATTTACCTCCAGGACACAAGAATGCTCAATGTTCAAAAGAACATATGCACACCATTAGTCACTGCAGCACTAAGTAGAATCACTAAGATAGTGAATCAATCTAAGTGTCCAAAAATAAGTGGATCATGAGGATGTGGTATATGTACACAATGCAACACTATGCAGCTTTAAGAAATGATGAAATAGTGCAATTCACTGCAACATGGGTGAAATTAGAAGATGTTATGTTAAATGAAGTAAATCAGAAGAAAGAAGACAAAGAAGACACCACTTATATGTGATATTTAGAATAACTGGAGTAGGTAGTGCAATGTTTTAAGGGGGTTATGCCTAGATAACCCCAGAGCATAAGGAGGAGGATAGAGAGGGAAATAAATCAAGGAAGAAGAGACAGACTGCAAGCAACATGGGCAGGGGTAAGGAAATTTGGACACATCAATGGTGTAAAGGAGTGGCATAACTAAATAACCAAACCACAGAGTCACCAACACTGAAAACATGAGATCCAAACTTTAAAAACCAAACTTCAAAATTTGCCTGTCCCACTTAATACCTGCATTGCAAACCACAACACACTAAAGGAGAGAGGGGATGTAAAAGGGAATGCGCCTGCCACAGAGGTGGGGGAATGGGGGGGGGTGAAGGGGATGGGGTGGTGATGGGAGAGATACTGGGAACATTGGTGGTAGAGGTGGGGGGATGGGGGCTAAGGGGATGAGGTGGTGATAGGAGGGATACTGGGAACATTGGTGGTAGAGAATGGGCACTGGTGGAGGGATGGGAACTTGATCATTGTATGACTGAAAAGTAAGCACGAAAGTTTGTAAGTCTGTAACTTACATCATAGTGATTTATTAAAAAATATAAATAAATAAATAAAAATTGTCTGTCAAGAGAGCAGACTAACTGGGTAGGGATAGGATAGGATGCAACTTAGGAACACTGGTGCTGGGAAGTTGACACTGGTGGTGAGATTGGTGCTGGAACACCACTGTATGTCTAAAAGTCATATGAATAACTTTATAAATAATGGTTATTTAATAAAAACTAAATAAAAAATAATGAAATGTAAAATATCGCCACACATAAAGTTTCTATTTTGTTTTTCAACCATATGTCTTAGGCATGGCTTAACAACCTGTTAAACTTATTACACAATTATTTGTTAATGTTTTATATTTAAAAGTGGATTATGCTGGAATTTTTGAAAGCATGCTTGGTCCTTCACTTTACAGTATTTTTCAGTGGGTTGTCACTGGCACAATGGTGGAGGGATGGGTGTTTGATCATTGTGTGATTGTAACCCAAACATGAAAGCTTGCAACTATCTCATGGTGATTCAATGAAATTAAAAAAAAAAGAATGCTTAACAGATTTTCTGTTGGAAATCCTGGACATTATTTTTGTAACTTCTGTTCTTAGTGGAAAATGAGACAATTAGATGCAAATGATCTACAAAAATCATCTGGCATCGGGATCTGTTATCAAGGATTGCATCATATTGGAAATAAGAAAGAAAATGCAGGGGCTGGAGTGATAACACAGTGGGTAGGGCATTTGCCTTGCACACAGCATACCCGGGTTCGATTCCCAGCATCCCATATGGTACCCCGAGCACTGCCAGGAGTTATTCTTGAGTGCAGAGCCAGGAGTAACCCCTGTGAATTGCTGGGTGTGACCCAAAAAACAAATGAAATAAAAGAAAGAAAGAAAATTTAGAAAAAAAAAAGACTGAGAAATAGAAGGCCCTGAATAAAAACAGTGGCCACAGATATGGAGATAAGAAAATGAACTTCAGGGACACTAGTAGATGAAATAAACTGCTTGTGTACGGGGGTCAGGAGGGGATATAGTAAGGGATATATATATGTATATATATATGGATAACAGAAAAATATGACTTGATTTTCTTCCTGAGGGTTTAGCCGAAAGCAATTTTGTTGGTTATCTACAGAAAACTAAAAGAAATGCTCTTAATTTTTGTCTCAAAGAGGGAAGTGAGGCAAGTTTAGAATAAGCTGAGGTTTGGTGACATGTGAGACACCATGAGTGTTAAAGGTAGTTTTACATGAGCACAGAACTCTAGCCTCTCTCCTCTTCCTGCATGTCTGTGCTCAGATCCCTGTAAAACAGTGAGAAGAAGCAAAGAAGAGAAAGCTTGCCTGGACAGGGCTCTATAACCTGGGTTTCTGGGTTAAACATTTAAATCCCTTCAACAGTTAAAATCCCTATACTTAAAATATCCATACGTAAAATCCCCTCAACACTTCCAGTTCCTATCATAGTGAGGTTCCCAAGGGTCAGAATGCCAGTCATCTTGCTCCTGGTGAGATGCTGACCAGTGCTGCTTTATCTGTCTGCAGTTAACTTTAATTCTTTCTGTTCTTCTCAGGCTTTCATATCTACCACAGACTACCGGGCCTCATGCCAGAAAGCTGCCTCCTCATCACCGTTGGGGTCCTGGTGGGTGCCATCATCTTTGGCACTGACCACAAATCACCTCCCGTCATGGATTCAAGCATCTACTTCCTGTATCTCCTTCCACCCATTGTCCTGGAGGGTGGTTATTTCATGCCCACAAGACCATTCTTCGAGAACATTGGCTCCATCCTGTGGTGGGCAGGCCTGGGGGCCCTGATCAATGCCTTTGGAATTGGCCTCTCGCTCTACCTCATTTGTCAGATTAAGGTCTTTGGCCTCAGCGACGTCAGTCTGCTTCACAATCTGCTCTTTGGCAGCCTGATCTCTGCTGTGGACCCCGTGGCTGTGCTGGCGGTGTTCGAGGAGGCCCGGGTTAATGAACCGCTCTACATGATGATCTTCGGGGAGGCCCTGCTCAATGATGGCATCAGTGTGGTGAGATGCCAGTGCCACTGTCCCCGGGAGAGAGGCTGGGCCTGGGGACAGGCGTCTGTGTTCAGGGTCACTTTCTAAGCAGGGCTAGACAACAGTAGGGCAGAGATAGTCTTTGGAGGGTGCAGTAAGCTCCCACTCTGCCACCTTCCCTTGGATTGGACAGGATACATGTTATTGTTAGGAGCTCTGCTCGTTGGTCACCAGCTACTGAGCTTTAACGATAAAGGGGAGTGAATAAAGAATTCTTGGGTTAATTTCAGTTTTTCACTTAGCAAAGAGAAACTATTACTAAAGTTCCTTCTGTATTTTCAGAAGGAAAAAGCAGTATCTTGTCTTTATTTTTTCTCATTCATCAGGCTATTAGACCTCATTCCTTTCAGAAGATTTTTCTTTCTTTCTTAGTGACATGCAACAGCCTAAGAGTATAGAGGGGAAAGCACTTGCCTTGCATGAGCTGATCCAGATTTGATCCCTGGCACTGAGCTCATGAGGAATGATCCTTAAGCATAGAGCCAGGAAGCCCTAAGCACAGTAAGCTGTGGCCTGAAAAGCAATAAATAATGACATAAGATGATAGAGTTAAATGAAAGATGGCATAGGGAAAGATGCCAGATCTCATGGGTGCAGGTATACAGAGTCTTACATTCATCAGGTGGGATTGTTTTATATGTATACATTACTTCACTATAACAATTGTAGTTCTTTATGTATCATTCCAATTATTGTAAAGTATTTCATAGATAGCATTTATTATTTGGGCTGGAGCAATAGTACAGAGGCTGGAGCGATAACACAGCGGGTAGGACGTTTGCCTTGCACACGGCCTACCCGGCCATCCCGAGTTCAATTCCTCCGCCTTCAATTCATCCGCCCCTCTTGGAGAGCCCGGCTAGCTACTGAGAGTATCCCTCCCATATGGCAAAGCCTGGCAAGCTCCCCGTGACATATTCAATATGCCAAACATAGTAATAACAAGTCTCACAATGTTACTGGTGCCCACTCAAGCAAATCAATGAACAACGGGAGGACAGTGACAATGACAGCATTTATTACTCATTTAAACAGTTGGTGGTTAGTAAATTTTGGAGGAAATACTTTCCTCCCAAGTTACATAGCACCACCTGACTGGAGAAAGATGAGATCAAGAATTTATTACTCACATATTCACAGCCCAAGGGAGAGAATGGTCTTCATCACCATCAGAGGCACAGTTAGGCAGTACTTAGGGTCAACAGTGAGCAAGAAGGAGTTGTGGGAGGTAGACTTCACAGAAAGTAAGCACTGTAGCACTGTAGCACTGTCCTCCCACTGTTCAATGATTTGCTCGAGTGGGCACCAGTAACGTCTCACAACAAATTGTGAGACTTGTTGTCACTGTGTTTAGCATATTGAATAGGTAGCTTGCCAGGCTCTGCTGTGCAGGTGGGATACTCTCGGTAGCTTGCCGGGCTCTCCGAGAGGGGCGGAGGAATCGAACCAGAGTCAGCCATGTGCAAGGCAAATGCCTTACCTGCTGTGCTATTGGTCCAGCCCCCAAAGGTAATATCCCATCTTTTACTTTCTGTTCCCTTCACAGAAGGTAAAAGATGGTATATTATCTTTTTCCCCTCGGGTGATATAATTGGTGATATAATTTGAATAAGTCCTTGGACAACCCGGTGACAAAACATACTCTTAAGAATAAGCAGAAGTTGAACCTCATCTCCCTGTTAAGACAACTGTTTCTCTAGGAAGTCTCATTTGTAAGGTCAGATTGGGGAAGAGAACTTGCCCTTAAGCCATTAAGACCTTCACAGTTTCACTGAGTATCAGGGTAGCATATAATATTGGGTCTTAATTTCAGTCTTAGTACAACAGTTGCAATCTCTTCCAGAAAGTGTTGATGAGATTAAGTTCTTTATTTTCTCTGCTTTTTATTAAGGCATTATGATTTAAAATACCGTTAATGATAGAATTCCATACAGCCAATGCTCTGACACCACACTCATAAGATTGTCAACTTCTCTTCACCATCATCTCATGGGCTCTCTATAGACACTGTATTGCATTTATTTTTCCTTGCATTATTATTAAAGAGGACATTTTTTTCTATAATGATTTCCAGTCTAGTAAGAAAAATGAACTTCTGGTATTTTTATTAATTGGCATTATGTTATTGGGCTGGAGCGATAGCACAGTGGGTAGGGTATTTGCCTTGCACGCAGCTGGCCAGGCCTACGCAAGTTCGATTCCTCCACCCCTCTTAGAGAGCCCGGCAAGCTGCCAAGAGTTTCTCACCCGCACGGCAAAACCTGGCAAGCTACCCGTGACGTATTTGAGATGCCAAAAACTGTAACAAGTGTCACAATGGAGATGTTAATGGGCCCACTCGAGCAAATTATGAACAACGGGAGGACAGTGACAGTGACAGTGACATGATATTATAAAACATCTTTCAAAGATTGTGGATTATTTTTTTCATAATGAACTTTTTAAATTTTTTAGCTTTTTGAGACTTAAAAATACAGGTGTCCCAGTTAAATTTTAATTCAATAAAAAAATAAATAAACAATTATAAGCATGTGCCAGTTACTGTATGCAAATATTGAATCTTATCCATTTTATACCCGCTTTTTAAAAATGTAGCACTGTAACACTGTCCTCCACTTATTCATTGATTTGCTCGAGCGGGCCCAGTGTCTCCATTGTGAGACTTGTTATTACTGTGTTTGGCATATTGAATACGTCATGAGTAGCTTGCCAGGCTTTGCTGTGTGGGCGAGATACTCTCGGTAGCTTGCCGGGCTCTCTGAGAGTGACTGAGGAATCGAACCGAGGTCGGCCGGATCAGCCACGTGCAAGGCAAATGCCCTACCTGCTGTGCTATCGCTCCAGCCCAAGAATTCATAAATTATCTCAATTTCAAGCTTTTGAATATTACATACCATATTTTTCTTTATACTAATGAATGTTTTTCTACATTATGGTATTTTTTTTATCCTCTAAAAGTTTTACATTTTTGTGAAGTCATACCTACTAAAGTGCTCTTTTATTGATTTGGGGTTTGATGTCTTGCTTCTGAAGATCCTCCTAAGTAAAGTAACTGCAAACATAATTTTTCTCCATTTCCACCATTTATGGATGAGTTGGATTCATTGGTGTAACTTTTTTTAGTGATGATTTTATACAAAAATGGACATTATAGAGGAAAGGGCACTGGAAAAGGAATTATGCTCTCCTGGGTAGATTCCTAAAGCTTTCAAAGATAATCTCTCATTGTTGAGAAAGCTACTAGATTTCTAGTCCTGCACATTATTTCTTTCTGCGAGAACATCACGAAAAAACATTTTGATTATAACAAAGCCAGGGAGTCTGGACAACAGACTATGGTCAGATTCTGATGCTTCATTTCTCAGAGTGAACTTCATGCCTGTGCTTAAAAATCCCTCAAGGACATGGTGACTTTTCAAATGTCTAAACTTAACCACAGGCATACTTTCCTAGACATTATTGGACTGCATTCTGGGTATCTGTACTTTTAATAAACTCCATGGGTGAGTGCTGATGTTTGTCAACTATTGAGTGGTTATCTTAAGGTTGGAAGAAGATGATATTATTGACCTAATGTGACAATGTGTCTTGAATCAGAATTGACTGTACACTTCTCTTCAGACTGAGCTGGAGTCATCTTTGGGATCTCCATCTTCCCCTCTCTTTCTTCAAGTACTTTCTTCTGTATTCAAAAAAATGAATACGAAACTGCAGTGCTCTCTTGCCACTTGCATTTGGTGATCTTGGGCTGCTTCTCCTACCTGGGATGGCTGATGGCAATGAGCGGATGATGGAGGGCCAGGCTGGTTTGTGGTCAGTTGCAGTTTATTCCCATCTCGTCTTGATTCTCCTCCTATTCTCCTCCATTCTCCTCTCCCTGATTCTCCTGGATTCTCCCTTCCCCCCAACCACCCCAAATTCTCCATGACTCTCTCCATGCTCACTCTTACAGCCTTAATTATATCCCAAATCATGAGGGGTTTGGGTAGCAATTACACATAGGTGTGATCATATAATCATCAGATGTAAAGTCCTTCCTTCAGGGGAAGCTTCTTTTGAGACTAATTCTCATTCAGCAAGATGACCCACCTAAGGGCAAAATACTATCTAAGGTATGTTTGTTCTTTCCTTAGTCCAACAACCATTTAAACATTCGTGTTAATTCTACTCCTTAATAATATTAATCATTTTGTATGGACACAGTAAAAGATACATTAAGCTTATAGGATGGCTCTTCTTGGGACATCTCGCTATAGTTCTCAGACTAAGTGCTTAGGCCAGATTAGTCTTTCCTAACCCTAGCAGGGTCTTAGCAGGGTCCAGTTGTTACTCTTTGAATTGTGACAGAATTTTTCCATGACCATGCTCTTAACTTATAGTTAAGTATTATGGCAGCTGGCCTGGCCCATTTTGATGCCAGGGCAGCTCACAGCATGCCCTGAGTCCATCCATTCTCTTCTTGGGACTCTGCTTTTGGGGTGTTAGGAACTAAAGGCAACTGAGGCTTAAGTTGAGAAAACAGATGCCCCAGAGTGAATATTATTCAGAGACAACTAACTCCCAAGTAACAAAAACATGGCAATAACTGTCTTCTTGTGTTTATACAAAAAGGACATTGCTCTAAAGTAACTATGCAAAGGAAATATGGATAAGAGAAAAGCAATATATCACTAAAGAACACAAGTAAGTATTTGTAAGTTTAAGTGTCCTAGAAGGATCTGACCTTACAAGTTAACAGAGCTTGATTAGGGGACAGAGGTGATTGACCAGTTGGGGAAGCAGAGCACAGAGAAGAGGTTACAGATTAACACAGAGGAATAGAAGTGCCTCAGGAGTACTGTGATGGGTGTAACCCAATAAACCTAAGCTCCCTGTGGCAAGGGAGAAAGGACATACCAATGTTTTTTTTTTTTCATTTCATTTCATCATCCTGTTAATCGTCGATTGCCTCGAGCAGGCCCCAGTAACGT